GGTATGCTCAAAACATATCCAGTATGTTAACAGTGTACATTTTCTCTTCCCAGGTTCTGTATTGACCAAAGAGGGGCTTGGACAGAGGGAGGGGCAGAGAAATTCAGGGCATAAAGAGGAGCTGGAATCACTTGTTAATGGTCTATAGAGTGGAGAAGTCTGAATTCAGTATTCACCCTGCTTTGAGCAGGAGGTTGGACTATGTGATGTCCTGAAGTCCCATCCAACTCTAATTAATCTGTTTCTGTGATGTTTGAGAAAACCATTCATTTAGATGGGTCTATAGATGTGAAATACTAGAAAAAAAAAAAAAAATAAATCCCAGCATCAGTTTGGGTTTTATAAAAGAGAGTTGGCCCAGTACCGTTAGCTTCTGTGCCTGTTTTAGAAAGAAATTAAGACCGGGCATGCATACATGGGGTGGGGGTCCAGGGGTATGCTATCCTATTGGTCAAAGTGTCAGAGCAGCTAAGGGTAGTTGCAATTCCCTCTGGAAGATCCCAGTCCCATTCCTCAGCTTTCCTGAGAGGATCTGCTGCAGTATGGGATTTATTTCTTTGCTCAGCTCATACAGACCTAAAATAAAATTCTGGTTGGAAGCTTTGCTCAGTTTAACTGCATGCAGCAGTTAATATTAAATGTTTTACTGTAACATTTAGTATTAAACATTAAAGTAGGTGGGAGATCAACACTTGCATTAGAATTAAATTTGTATTAGGAAGAGATTATTGATACGTTCTGCACAGTCCTGTGCAGTACTGACACTTGTGCGAACAGAGCAATTTCTTGCGCTGGTGGGGTTTTTTTGTATGTGGTGATCTTTCCTTCTCAAAGTGTGTATCGTAACGCTAAGTGATGTCTCCATAGCAGTAAATGGCAGTTGAGAAGTAATGGGAAAATAGATTCTGATATGTGTTAATCCTTTATTTTTTCCCATTGTTGCCATCTTTTTGTAAGTTACAAAACATGAAAACACTGTTAGACTGACTGGTTCCAGCAACCAGAATTCCAATACTTTCCTTTCTGAGAAATTATTTTGTGTAGTGATTTAATTTATAACAAAATACTTTAGTTGTATTACTGAAATTATTTCCAGTAATAATTTTGCTCTGTGAAAGAAAATGTGCCTTTCATATTTAAAATAAATTTTCCTACAGTAAAATTGGGCTCATATCCAAAGTAAACACTGCGCTAAACCAGATCCCTTGCACCTTTAAAAGAGGCTGCAACCATTTATGTGTCAGTTTATCAGTATCATAGTTTTTTAATCCTATGAATTGAATTGCTTTTGATTTTTATTTTGCAGTCTATCATTGATTCCTTTTCATTAGCAGAGAGTTAGAGAATTGTTTATAATTGGAAATGTGTCTCTCTGCAGAGCTGAGGGTTATTTCCCCAATGTTATCCTGTTTTAAAACTCGCAAATTCTTTTTTGAATAGAAGTAGACAAGTACATTCAGTTTTAACATTTTAACACTTCTTCTATCTAAATGCTAGAAGATTCACATCTACTTAAAGGTCTTTACCAACACAGAAAGTTAAAGTCTCTGAAGGAAGCAATTCTTTGATTAAGTCATAACCAGCTAGGTGTTGAAGAAGCGATGCAGAAATGCATTTCTGAAATAATTGACTTCTAAGTTTTAACTGATGGGTTTTTTCCAAGTAAAATTGTAGGTAGACTGACTATTCTAACACAAAACAAAAGACACCTTGAGAATAATCAAAAAAGTATTTTGCTCATGTTGACTTAGTTAAGCTGAGTTAACTAGTGAAAGATTTTAGTAAAGCTGGTCTTTTGTCAGTGGTTGAGCCTTGCCAGTAACAAATGTGAGGCTAACACACAGTAACAGTTAATGAGTGAGGAGATAAGAAAAAAGAATATTTTTACTTGAGAAGACTTAGGAGGTGTTTGTTGGTACTTCTTTTACTACAATTGTATCTTTACCTTTAGTGTATAAACTCAGATGAACATGTGAAAATCAGAATGAGATGAGTCTTTTTCCCCATCCTTGCTATCTGCTGGTATGATCTAGATCAAACTCCAGTGAAAGTAGTGCAGTCAGTCCCCTCATATTCAGTGTGTTTTGTTCCTTGAGGTAAAACAAGATAAAGGCCTGCCCAGGATATGAAATCTGATTTTGTTTAAGAAAATTTTATACGAGGACATTAAAAGAGTTCAAGGACAATTCTGTGCTTCCATCAAATGACATTAAGGACAGTCTTCTTGCATACTTAAAGAGTAGGTGGCATGACATGCAGAAAAGTCATGCAGTAGATTGATGCCTTTCTCAACCTGCTATTGAAATTACTATCCACGCAGTATGTACAAGCCAAATTTACTTCATTTAAGCAGCCAAGTCGGATTCTACTCTTTTTTTCTTGACTGCTCAGCTCAAACTGTGGGATCACTGTGCTGCAGAGGGTAGCTGTGCATCTCCTTCTTACAACCTGGTGTAGAGACCAGGCAGTTCCTCCACTAAGTCTCTGAACTCTTCCTTAAGATCATCAGCACCCTTTTCAGTGAAGGCATTTTCAGACTGGGCACTATAAATGTATAACTTATACTTTTGGAAATTGCAAATTTTAGATTTGTATGAAGAGCCACTGACATCTGTAAACATTTTGAGCGAGCTTTGCCAAGTTATTACATCTTTATGGTTTCAAGTTCAAAGCAAACAACTTGCAGTTTGAAACAGCAAATCCTGCCTCACCCACAGACTGGCATCTGACAATGGCCAGCGCCCTAACAGCGGCATGAAAAAGACTCTTACACATTCTGTCACAGAGGAAAACAAATGAAATAGTCATTTGAGATCTGAATGTGTGAGCCCAGGCTATATAAGCAGAGTAATTGACCAGGAATCCTAGCATATTGTTGGTTTTTATCTCTGTGGTGTATCAACAAGGGGCAAGCTTTTGTAATTCATATCCTACTCTTCAGGCAGTTTACGGTTCACTGTATTTTCCAGTAATACGTAGATACTTTTCTGTAGTAGTAAATTCTTTATGAAGGAACCAGTCAATCATTGCAAGAACATAATTGTGAATTTTGTGCAATTTACAGAGTAGGTATCTCTGCATTTCTAAGATGAAAGGGAGAAAGTCTAGCTGTTTGAAAACATTTATTTTTAATGTTTTGTTGGTGCCAAAGCAGATAGAAAGATTCTGTACTTTATCTAGAAAGGCTGGGGGAATCAGATTGTTTCTGGAGAAGGAATTTTGTCTTATTTCCTATTCTCTTTTGTAGTGGTGGCAGTAATAATCAAAAACCCTTCTGTATTTTATACTAAAAAAAAAAAAAAAAGTTAAGAAACCCCACTTCTCTGTCCAAATTTCTGGCCTAACCTTGTGTTTTTTAACCCAATGTGCGTTTGATATGCAACAATCACTGTTGATTTATGCCATATTTACTGTTTCTGGGACTAAAATATCTTTTCTTACAGTTTTTTGACCTTCCTACTAATACTACGTATCTTTGGCAATGGATATTTGCCATTCCCTTAGGTGGTAATTTGATTTTAACTTTTTTAAAGAAAAGAAACAAAACAAGCATTAAAGCTATAAAGGGGATTTGCTCTGTGAGGCTAAAGGAGGCATTCCCATATCAAATGGAGGTTGGAGAAATCATTGAAGATTTTGCTGAAAGGGAAGGGAGGAGGTTAGCAGTAGGGAAGAGTTTAGAGGGCATTTGTCTCACAGAAACATCCTCATGGATCTCGCCTCTTGCTCCTCAGCATACACAGGGGTTTCAGGTTATTTGTGCACCAGGAAAGGATGAAGGCAGCTGTGTGAGGTACCTGGTCACATGACTAAAAAAGTGTCTCAAGCTCAATCTGAGGGAGGATTTTGGAGAAAGACAATAAAATACAATCTCACGGAGGAGAGCAGCGAGATCTGTAATACTGAGGAGTCCAGCCTAACTAAAGAGGTCTGTGAAACTATGAAGGTAAAAGAGAGCATTCTCTGCATCCTGCCCCAGCAAGGTGGTTGTTTTCAAATAAATTGAGTGTAATGTTATAGGATGGGAGTCCTGTTCTTTAAAGATCCTGGAAAAGAAGGGATTATACCTGGAACTCAAAAGGCTGAGGTGCTTGCAGAAAGGCTGCCTCCTGTGTTCTAAGAGGGGTGATATTCTGAGATGATGCCCACCTTTACATATGGGCCCTGGATTCCTAGTATCTCCTTTAAAAAACATGTAAAGTAATTCCATTGACACTTTCCTGCATACACATTTTCCAGAAATAAATATATGATGACCACTGACAAAGATGTGCTTGAAACCATAACGTTTTCAAATAATTTAAAGTTTTAATGCAAGTTTAATAAAGATTCATAAAAGAATCATACTCTCTTTAATCGATTGCAAATGCTTATAATTACCCTGAGGCTGTTTTCAGCTGCCTGATGACTATAATATCCTCAAGCCTGTCTCCAGACAGTCTTAAAACTGTTTATTACTCATCTGGCTCTTTGCCAACTTCCCGTACTCGTTTATTTCACTGTGCCTCAAAAAACATATAATTAATTCAAGCTTATTATTGAACTTTTTTTTCCCCATTAGTATTTATTATGTCATCCAGATAAGGAAAGGAACATGTATTTTTCATCTGTGTAACTTTAATATGTCAATTATACTGCAAGTTAGCAGCTGTTTGTCAGAACTTTCATAACAACTTGCTTTTGCTGGTTGACATTACCACTGGAAATTGAATATATATTTTGGTTGACCCTAAAATTATGCAACTTCTGAGATAACTGAACTATTCTGTAAAATTCCTCTAGTGGAACAATGGCTGTGCTTCTGCTTTTTAACCATGTAATAGTTGGGGAAATGCATTCCAGGAGCTATAAGCGAGTATGTAGAAAGGTAAGAGGGGGTTTGTCACTTGCTCATGTTGCTGTCTTTAAGGATGGAATGGATAAAATATTCGAAGGCTTGTCCTGACAGCCCTCTGTGTTGTGTTGGTAAGGAAGGAAGACCAAATTTTTTTATTATATCTAGAATTTCAGTGCTGAGGTCAAAATAAAACTGTAGATATTCTCCTAGTATCTGTGTAGTGGGTAGTTGCTGTAAATGAGGTGCTATCTCGAGGTTTTGCAGAGGTATGAGATTTCTTTCATATATGCACAGTCTGCAAGCATCAGAAGTGACTTATTTTAAGAATATTTGAATACCTGAACCTTGCACTGATCTCCACTACTGTGTAAGTATTCAACTCTCAACACATTGTTTTAGTATCTTCTCAGAAGTATTAAAATTGAGTTTGTAAACTGATGTTTTGGCAGCTAAATAAATGAACTGTCATCAAAAGAGGAAACTATTGAACAAAGTACTTTGCACGCTGAATGGAAGAAATTATACCACCTTTGGAAAAAAGGCATGCATTAGGCATAATAACATCATAAATGTCAGGTATTATCATAAATTGAAAAGAAAACTTCTCTCTGACAGTTTTAACCAGTTAACAAAAAGAGGAAACAGAGGGACAGGATGTCCTGGTTGGGCTAAACCACGACACAGGAAAAAGCTAGAAAATATTTATTACAGTATTTCTAAATCTTAGTTTATCAGTGTTGCTTTTGTAGCTTATGTTCTTCACAGTGCCAGTCCACTCATAAAATATTCCTGTCCCTATAGTGTAAACTTTTAATCAACTGAAAAAAATTATTGAGGAGCAGATTGATGCACAGTCAGAGAACAATTTGTCTTAAGTAAGAGTATAACGCACGTAGTCACACTTGGTTTATTACCCGAAGTCTGCAAGGACAGTCACTTTGCTGTTCCCCACCACCTCCTTGGAAAGGGATGCATCATTCCTCATGCTTATGAAAACCAACAGGGGAGCAGTAGGGACCTACAGGGAGAGTTGGTGTACCATACAGACAGAAGTATAGACTACTTGCTATTAAATAAAGGCATATATCTAAGCAGAGGTATGGAGCTCTGTTGTACAGTTGTATAGGATTTAAGTATAATTTTTCAAGTTTGACATGATTTTTAACAGGAGAGTAAATGCTGAAAATAAACAGTGCTAGGCTGTAAGCCATTATGATCTTTGGAGGCGCTAGGCAGGGAAAATTTATTTCTTTGCAAGAGGTTCTTTTACTCAAAGGCAACTCCTAGAAGCCTTTTAGAAATCTCTAATGCAACCTGTAGTCAAAAAGAAATTGAATGAAGAAGTAGAAAGCAGGTTACACAGACAAAAGTGTATGATTATAGAATTTATTGGCTTGTCAGCCTCCACGAGTGAGGGGTGATCACAATCTGACTCCCTTTCTATTTTTCAGAAGCTAAGGTAGCAGCTGATACTCTTACGGATTAGTTCTAGCTTCAATTTTATTTATCTTTTTTATCCTTTGCTTTTTTTTTTCTTTCCACTTAAAAAAAATTAGACGCTCAAAGGAAAAATCTTGTGTCAATCACCAGTAAGGCTGGAAACTTATGTCTTGCAGTATTTGAAAACTGGAAAAGTTATTATCTCTCCTGCAACATTGATTCAGCTACTTGAGACTATCTATATTGATTTTTCTTATTTAAAGGATGATCTCAAATAATTGATATATAGCATGAAGCAAAAAGTAGCTAATGTAAAAATTACATTAGGACAATCCTTTAAAATAAGGATTACATAGACATTTCAGTATTGCCACAATAGTTCATATCAAACAACAAAATTGAAGTTAGTTGGTTTTATTATGCTTTGAAATTGAAACATCTTCAAAAAAGAAAAAAAGTATATAAGTATATTTTTCTTCCTTTTTCTCAACTGGATGATATTAAGAAATTTGAGAAAGTTTGTTGTCTTTTTTTTGGATGTGTGAAATTTCAGAAAATTGCAAGCAAGGGAGGAAAAAACCAATCACTATTACCATTTACAAATATCATCCCCCCCTTGCTAGGTTCCAGAAATTTTGAGAATATAAATGAGATTTCATCTGTAATTAAACATTTGAGCTTAAATTTACTTATAATGAGTTTGAACTACTGCTATATTCTCTGCAGCTAGATCCGTCCAGTTGAAACAGTTCAGGTAACTGCTCCCTCTCAGTTCCCAAATGCTAATATGAAAGAGCTATGTAGACTTTTTTTGTTGTTGTTTATTTTACTTTGGAGGTTCACTGAATTACATATAAGCTGACTAATGAGAGGGAATCCCAATGGTGTGAAAATAGGATGAAGGACTTATTGAATCATCATGCTAAATTTTTATTGTCCTCAATTTAGATCTTAACCATGTTAATAAATATCAACACGTGCACAGGAATGCAAACACTTTGCTCAAATATTTAAGCAGAGCAGTGGCATCATCAGAGTCCAGCTGGAGCTGCCCATCTCCCTTGTGTGCAGTGCATTTCCATAATTAATAGTTGCTGTCATGTTAGCCATCACTGTGTAAGGAAGAATCACTGCCCTAGACTCCTAAAGTTTTCTTGATAAGAATTTGAACAGTGACATTTGTTATACAATGGTTTTTCTCATCAACTGTACAAATAAAGTGTTTTTTTTGTGTAAATCAGCCAGTGGATATTTATGACAGGTGCATTCACCTTTACTGCCACAGCTGAATCAGTTGGTTATTTATCATCTGGATACTGTGAGAAAAATGTTCACAGATCTGAAATGGTATCAGAGAGAGGATGAGCTAATGACTGTAAACCAGGTTTGAGATAACCAAAGTGCTGAGTAACAGTAAGCGCCTTGTAATTTAGGTGGAACACAGTGATAGAGGTGGATCGATTAATTTATTACCATTGGTGAATAATGCCATCTTTCTCTTCTCCTGGTCATAGTGTGATCTGAAAAGTTTTTAGAAACTTTGCATCTACTTCTAGCTTGTAGATTTCTCACTTTTAATAAGGGTATAAGAGGTAGTTAGCATGTGAATTGTTTATTCAATACTTGCTGTTCATTTTGTATGACTTATAAGATCTTCACTGCATATGCATACTGGTTTTCTTATATGAGATGCCTGAACCCCGGCATATTTTGTTCTAGGATGTCCTGATCATTAGACTTTCTCCAAGATGGATTAGGGAACTTGCTCCCTCTGAAATTATTCCTCTGCATAGAAACAGAGAAGGCAAAGGAAAGTTATATAAGGCCACAGAGAACAAAGAAGTGAAAGCAACATCTGATCCAGTGATAAAAAAACCCTTGTGGAAGGACAGCGTTTATTTTTTTTTTTATACCAAGATCAGGTCGTGCAAGTCAGGAATCTTCTTGTACGAGGTGTATCACATATATAGTGCAGAGACCTCAATGAAAAGAGAGCAAAGACACAATTTCTCCTGTAATCTGGTGTCGAGGAAAGCTGCG